AAGTAAAAGAGAAAGATAGAGAGAGACTTTTAATGAGTGTTTTTTTTTGTTGTTTCTATTTATTTAAGAAGAAATTTTCATTCTAGGTTCAATAATAATAATATGATTTTTGAAGAATACAATTCTTCTTCAAAAAGTGTATGTATGTGTATGTGTATGTGTATGTGTGTGTGTGTGAGCGAGAAAGAGTGTAATAGAAGTATAACAAAATTTCTTTAATGAATTTCTTATTTTGTATTTCTATTTCATTAAAAAGTAATTTTGTTTCAACATTCAATCATATAAATTTTAATATCATTATCACCTTTTTTAGTTGTTCATTTGATATATATATAGAATATTGAATGAGTTATTCTTTAGTTAAACCGAAAAAAATAACTCATAGATATAGATAGTGATTGTTGTTGTTGTGTGTGTGTGTGTTTACATATCTGTTACTACATTAATTTACTATGGTTATGGTTCATGGACCTTGGTAATCAATCATTGACCAAGCCTATATATATATATATATATATATATATATATATATCAATTCTATGAGTTTGTTCATAACAATTATACACATCCGATTATGATTACTGTTATTATCACTACTACTACTACCTGAATTATAATTTGGATCTAATCACGTAGAAACATACATTTGTTATATATATTATATAATTTGATCTTCATTACTAAGTTTATTCTTCCGGTGATTTTATTCAACAATATTATTAACATCTATCTGTAAGTCGGTATCATCTTATAAACATAATGTATATATATTATTATTTATTGTTTCATTATATCATTAGTGATAAATGAATAGATGAGTAAAGATAAGTGTTTTTAATGCTTGATTCTCACATTCTATTTGTCTATACGCCCCCAAATTTCTTGGTTCGGTCAAGAATTAGGAGAGTTCGCTTTCCCTCTCGAAATACTCTCACATTACCACGCGTATATAACCTATGCCAGGGAAGTCTTACTGACTGCCTACTTATAGCATTACAATTGTTTACAAAATTGAGAGAACGAAAAGTGAATGTTCGGCGCTTTTTATTTATTTATTTATTTAAACACATAAATATTGGTACAAGGAAGCACCAGATAAATATTCGCCTCACAAATCTCATTTGATTTGTGTGAGGGCTGTGATACTGCCCAGATTGAATCAGGTGGTTTTCTTAGGGGACCACACCCGGAGCCTTTGACCTGAATGTCTGATCCACAAGGCAGTGGAGCATCGTAAGGAGATGCAGTCCTATGGTAGCCGGTGACCAACAGTTGGTTCATACGCCATTCGTTCCTTCAGGATACGGGAGCCCATGTGCACCGTTGGTTTGGAATCAGGGTTTTCCAACTCCCCTAGGTGGATCCTCCACATCCACCAACCCGGTTAAAGCACCGGACATTCACTTTTCATCCTATCACTTTTGTGAACAACACCGGTGCCTCGAGAAGGCAGTGAGTAGGACTTCTCTGGCAGAGGCTATATATTCGCGTGGCCATGCGAGAGCATTTCGAGAGGGAGAGGTGACTCTCCCCACTCTTGGCCGTACCAGGGCATTTGGGGGCCTAAAATTCAATAATAAATCACAGTGCTTTAACCGGGTTCATGGACACGGCAGGTCTACCTAGGTGAGTTGGAAAACCCTCATTCCAAACCAATGGTGAATATAGGCTCCTGTATCCTGGGTGAACAAATGGCGTATGAATCAATTGTTGGTCACCGGCTACCATGGGACTGCATCTCTTCACGATGCTTCACTGCCTTGTGGATTAGATCTTTAGATCAAAGGCTTCCTGTGTGGCCACGCAAGAAAACCACCTGTTTCGGTCTGGGCATCTGGACAGTATCATAGCTCTCACACTATTAAATGAAATGACATTTTTTATGTGACGCATATATATCTGGTGCCTCCTTGTACCAATATTTATGTGTTCAAATAAATAAACGATTTGTCTATACACAATGAATGAACCATTATTCAATGGTGGTACCTCAACAAATGATAACTGAATCTTGACGATTTTGGAGTGCATAACTTTATAAACAAAAAACAGCGACTATTATAAACAAAGATGGATAGTGGCTAGCAGTGAAATCTAGTTTGACTCGGGTTTCGTCCTATTTGGGACTCGTCAGCTGGATGTAGCTGCATCTCAGAGTTGATGTTCACTCTGGGATTTGAACCCAGTACTATTTGCTTCAAACGCCATCGCATTGTCCACTTAGCTACTGAGTCCTGATAGCAATTAGCTTGTGCAATAGGGTAAAGTTTAAATTCACTTGGTATTGTCTGTTTGATTCTTCCGATTGATTAATTTCAGTCCTAAACATCAATGTGAAGATTCAAACAGACAATACCAAGTGAATTCAAACAAACAACTGTTTGGAGCTGGTCACATATCACATATCAGTCAGTAAGTGAATAAGCCATATGACTATATATATATATATATATATATATATATATATATATATATATATCTTTAAACCTGTATAGCTTAGTTCTCCATTTGACTCCAATATAAAATGTCCCTTTAACTGAGTATTTTACCAGGTTAATTTTTTCAATAGTACTATGAATTTGTTTAAGAATATTGAAAAGTTAGAACATTAGTTGTTGGTATAGTATTATTATTTAATTGATAAAACAAACAACCATGAGATAGACAAGCACATTAGGCAGTGAGTGGGTTAGTAAAAAGTTAAAATATCTATATATTATTATTAATCAATGATGGATATTTTCATGGAGTTTTGTTCTCTGAGCTGGATGGTTTGATCGTGGGGCTTTCATCGTCCTTCTGAACGACATCATCAGTGCAAACTTCGAGTAGAAGTGAAGTGTTTGAATTTCTCCATATGTGATTCACAGATTGTCCTGTACACCTCGATATTGATTGGTTCTACCCGGAGTTTGTGCTGATGATGTCCTTCAGAAGGACGATGAAAGCTCCACAATCAAACCATCCAGCTCAGATAACAAAATTCCATCGAAATCATCCACCTGAGCTGCATATTTCCATCTCAAAATGAATATGTTATTGATTGTCTATATTTACAACTAATGGGAGAACAGATAAAAGATTCAGACACTCTTTCAATCAAAATCATACATAGTTTTACATAGCGGATTAATTGTCTGAATCACAACAGGTAGATTATTAAAAAAGTTTAATGAGCTTATTGTAAATCCACACGAAACAACTATTATAAGCAAAGATGAATAGTGGCTAGCAATGAAATCCAGTTTGACGCACGTATCGTCCTATTTGGGATTCGTCAGCCGGATGTACCTACATCTCAGAGTTGATGTTCACTCTGGGACTTGAACCCAGTACTGTTCGCTTCAAACGCCATCATGTTATCCACTCAGCTACTGAGTCCTGATAGACATTTTCTTGTGCAATGGGGTGAAGTTTAAATTCAGACACTCTTTCAATCAGACTCATATATACTTCTAAATAGCGGATTAATTGTCTATATCACAACAGGTAGATTACTCAAAAAAAAATTCGATCAGCCTATAAATCTACACAAAATACTGGTAAACATTCATCATAAGGCTGTAATGATCATATCAATTTAGGTGATCCAGAAGGCAATCAGTGCATCTCATAATGTTCTCCTTTGTCTTAACAAATCACCTACTATTATCACTATCTGTAATATCAACATAGTATCTCTGATCTAAATATCTAAGCATGTAATTTACAAACTTTGTTGTAATAATTTATCTCATTTATTGTTATATTGTGAGTGTGTTCTTGTCCAGTTATTATATATGAAGGTACTGATTCCCACCAACGAGAGAGGAGGTAATTATCGATCAGAGCAATGATACACAACAAGCTATATGAGCAGTCTTCAACACTAATCGGTCCTGCTTTCTGCCTAGCCCAGCCAAATAAGTCTAGAACAGCCTCTGTATTATAAATCATTATTCTCAAACATACTGGGTTTATATACCAAACAAAACTGATTACATCGTACCATACAATAGGAAACAACATTTGTACAAGACTTGGCCAAATGTGGCTGTGAATATAGGGGACAGTAATTAATAGGCTGGGTATAACTCAGAAATGGTAAATGGTACAGTAATAGTCTATGGGTCGAAATAAGGCTCATAATAAAAAGAACATTAATATGAATACTTAAGTTACTTAACAATTATACAACAGGAGATATACATATCATATTGGTCCACAAATAATTCTCAAAGTTACCATTCACAAATCTCCACGGGATATAACAGTTACCAAATACATGTGTTATTTACTCGACTTCGATCCATTCTACTTGCATTAAATCCAATGACACTCCTTGATCTAATTAATTTTTGCCAGATTCTAATATGTGACCTGTTGATTGGAAGCCTAGTATTTATAAACATTAAGCTACCGCTTCATTATCCCAAGATTTAGTTACATTTATTTTTAATTCATGAATGAAGTGTGGATGTCCAACTAAGGTGTTTGAAGATATATAGTTCATTATTCCGTCTGATAATTGGAATCTTCCAATCGATGTGTTAGGACTGCAACTGGTCAGTCTCTAATTAGCATATGTGCATACTGTGTGTATTGCCTCGATATATAGCCTTAATTCACAAGTCTTATAAGCAATGATGAATAGTGGCTAGCAGTGTAATCCAGGACGCACGTTTCGTCCTATCAATGGGAAGATTCGAACGAACAATTCTAAGTGAATTTAAACTTCACCCCATCGCACAAGCAAGTGGCTATCAGGACTCAGTGGCCGAGTGGATAATGTGATAGCTTTTTGAGCGAAAGGTACTGGTTTCGAGTCCCAGAGTGAACATCAACTCTGAGATGCAGGTACATCCAAGTTTCGAGTCCCAAATAGGACGAAACGTGCCTCAAACTGGATTCCACTACTAGCCACTATCCATCTTTGCTTATAAATATGCAATCTATGTTTGTGATACCTTAGTCACATCAATATATTTTACACTTTACAATATAACTGTTTTCTTTTGTAGTCCATTCACTGAGACTCCTTCTTCCTCTTTATCTGAAACAACAAATCTCACTAAGGAAACCAATTCTGTTATTGATATGACTCGTGCTGTGAATACAACACAAATGACTTGTAATACCACTTCTTGTAGCATCAATACTACAACTACAACTAATACAAGTGTTACAAATAGTGAAAAAATAGATAATTCAGTTAAATTGAACCGCATCCCTTCATCAAATGATGCATATCGTGAACCAGTGTTAACACGTGTTGCTGCTAGTCTACGTAATTCACCGGTAATTCCATCAGAATCATCATCAGTCTTACAAACTTCATGTCCGCCAGTTGTTAATGTAAATACTATGAAACGTAAGCACAATGATACATCACTATCCACATCATCTTCACCAGCAGTTACATTGGAATTGGAAAGTGTCAGCTCTGAAGATATTCGTGCTACAGTTGATCATAGTAAGAGAAAACGAAAAAAGAGTAAACATCATAATTTGAAAAAAATTACTTTCAAACCATTATCTGAAGATGAGACTACAACCATCATCACCAGCTCTGCCAATAACGATGAGACCAATAGTAACGATAATAATAAAAGCAGCGACACTACTGTTGTTATCAAAGATAATGCATTAACCATTGAAACTGTACCTACAGTAACAATAACAACATCTGAAATGCAACCTTTCTCTGATATTATAATGTAAGTATTTGTGTTAGGTACTGAGTGATACTTATGTTCGTTTTTTTCTACTACAACTGAGTTTCAAATCTTCCTATATTAGTCAGTCACAACGTAGAACTTCGTACGTACGTACGTACATCAGTTCGAGTTGCCATACCACATTACCACAGAGATGCAGTTGTCGATTCAAATCCCATTCTGGTAGAAGTATTAAGAGTATAAGCAGTAATGTAAAAGATTAGGGTTTGAAGATTTTATTCAAGGAGTATAATCCAATGAAATAAATTTGGAAAGAGAAAAAGTAAGAGACATAAAGAATTCAGATTAGAATTTGAGAGAACACAAAGAGTGGATGCATCTTCGCCATTGCAAACGATTTTGAGTCATGTCATTCAACGTCTCTAACCATCGATCGCTATCATCTCACGAATTCCAACCAGGTAGTCTACACCTACCAACATGGTTCAGTCCAATTGTCAGTGATTTCATGGATTTGTGTCACGTTTTTGCTTCCAACCTACTCCTACACCATAAAACATCGCACGTCGGGGCAGTCGGTGGTAGCTTGTGAAAAGTTATATTTTGGTCCATAAAGGACTCTTAAATTACTATAAAATCCTTGTATTTTCTGTACATAAATGAGTCCTGTAGTAAAGTGCTTCCCACACACTTTGTGCCTTTTCTCTGGTCTTCAAGTCGGTGTATAGTTCTAGCTCGGGGGTACGGAACTAGCTTAGGGAAGCGAATATAGCGTTCACAATCGGCCAGACGTAACACTATTACTGATTGACTTTGCAAGAGGACGATCTTCATGGATCCACTGAATAACTCACTCCCATCCCCGTCGCCACTGTTACGTCTGACCGTCTGAACGCTATATTCGCTTCCCTAAGCTAGTTCCGTACCCCCGAGCTAGAACTATACACCGCGACTTGAAGTCCAGAGAAAAGGCACAAAGTGTGAGGGAAGCACTTTACTACAGGACTCATTTATGTACAGAAAATACAGGGATTTTATAGTAATTTAAGAGTCCTTGAGTTTTACCGAAAGTTCTAGAATACTGCTAAACATAGTAGCAGTGTGTTAATCAGCCACTCAGGATCTCGTTATTTTAGTGACATAACTTCACACAACTTCTAATTAATCGCTGATTGGTTGGGGCTTTTTATGAGCCTCTGGAAGCCGACTGAACAGATCGATTGCACAGAGGACCTAATTTGAGATGAAAAAGAAGGTAACTGTACTAACATTCGTTTCGGGTGTCTCAATCCAAGTCAAAATTGTACATAATGAATTACATCTCAGTGTCACAAGAGGTTGGTTACGGCCTGACTAGCTCAGTGGTAACGTCTCTGACCGTGAAGCTGAGTGACACGGGATCGAATCCGCCAGGCAGCACCAGTTCCCTCAAGACTACAGGTACACCTTGCTGACGAGTGCCAAGTAGCACGAAACGCGGGTTCAGGGTTTCCTGTTGACCACCACCTTATTACAACAAGACCACATCACACAGTTATCGAAAAATTACGATGTAATATCAGTTGTTGTAAAAGCAATTAAGTACGGAAAATATATTTCATGAAGAATAAATAAATTAATCAAAAAGTATATGAGATATTTTTAGGACTCACTGTCTAAGAGGTGATGTAGTGGATACTTTTAGGCCATTGGGACAGATTCCGAAACACATCATTCAAAGTCTTTAACTTGTTTACGATTATCATGTGGACCATAATCAACATGGCTCTATCCAATAGTCACTAACTTCATAAACTGATTTTACATCTTGGTAAGGCTGTCTCTTCCTTTCTTGCAATCTATTACTACACCAACCATCATCACATGGTAATTGGACATACGTAACACGCTTCACAACCATCTCAGTCGACGAGACGTCATTAACACACGACCAACCATTTTACTGTTCTTAGTATCCTACATCATCGAATCTCAGTATTACTCATTTGATGGTCCCAACATACACAGGCAGTGCTCGGAAGGCATCCATGTTCAGAAACTAGTAACCCACTATATTTCTAAAAGCTACATTTCACAACCGTAAAGCAGAACGGAACAAATTGCTATGCACTATACTCTACCTTTGGTTGACAGATAGACATCTCATCTAAGTCATGGGTATCTCAAGTCGACAAAGACCTTCCAAGGCTTTTGTACCAATGTAATCAAAATTTGAGTCTTCAGTTTTATATATTCGTTTCTTTGATTTTTGTTTTCTTACTTCTAAAGACCTTCTACTTCAAACACATCAGATAATGTACATATGGTATTGGATGATTTTCGAAATTCTATTAATGAAGCTTTACAAAAATTACAAGAAAAATTAGCTCCTACAATAAATGCTACAGATAATGGTAAGTATCTTAGTATGATTGTTTGTTTTTTTGTATTCTGAAGCCATCAATGTTTTCATTCATTTAGTATTGTTTGTTTGAATCTTCCAGTTGTTGTTTAGGACAGCAACTGGCCGAGTGGATAACGCGATAGCGTTTGAAGTGAAAGGTACTGGGTTCGAGTCCCAGAGTGAATATCAACTCTGAGATGCAGGTACATCCAGGTGACGAGTCCCAAATAAGACGAAACGCGCGTCAAACTGAATTCCACTGCTAGCCACCATTCGTCTTTGCTTACAACAATGTTTTCGTTTCTTAGTGCGTGCTTACGTGCTCAGTCCGCTTAATAATAAAAGTCGTACTATCTACAACAGTTGATAGATTAAGCAATAGTCCGTACACAGGAGAAAATGGGAATACAATTACTCAATAATTATAAAATAAGAATTTTTCATAAGGTAGTTCTGCATGTGTAACTTTTCTTTAATCCTTTATGAAATAACAGTATTAGACTATAATTTTATTGATTTTTGCCTAGCAATCAATTCTACGAGAGATCTATGTTATATTATTTGTGACTCGTCAATCATTAGGTATTCTCATTGACCAACAATTGATTCATACGCCAGTTGCTCCTTCAGGATACTGGAGCCCATATGCACCATTGGTTTGGAATCAGGGTTTTCCAACTCTAGGTGGACTTTCCGTGTCCACCGACCCGGTTGAAGCGCCGGATATTCTCTTTTCGTTCTCTCAACTTCATAAACAACATCCCCGTCACGAGAAGGCAGTGAGTAGGACTTGTGTGGCAGAGGCTATATGTTCGCGTGGCCATGCGAGAGCATTTCGAGAGGGAGAGGTGACTCTCCCCACTCTTGGCCGTACCAGGGCATTTGAGGGCAATGAACGTAACCTGATGAGATCATGAATCAATTGAAGCTAGACCACCATGGATATTCTGGAAGCACTGGACGACCGTTTCGTCTTATTATGGGACTCAGCAGTGCGCACCCACGATCTCGCCTCGCGAAATTCGAACTCAGGGCCTATCAGTTTCGCGCTCGAGCGCTTTGCCACTAGACCACTGAGCCACTGTCCAAAATAATTGTCTACCTCAATAATACTAACTAGGTTGAATGAAAGCGACAAGAATGCTAAGATGAAACAGACCAAATTAAATTACACTAATCGATTCATGAAGTAATTAACTATTCAATTGATGCATGTTATGTTCACACTACTTGATTTGGATTCCACCAGTTACCATGATCACTCAGTCAGTCAGCTACAACGTAGGACCAGGCCATGAAAATGGCGAGTAAAGCCGCTTGCGGCTTCGCGAAACGTCCCGCTTACAAGCACTGGGTTTCTTCTGGCTCCTTACAACTGATGGAAGCCCGTCGGTCTACTCCGGGTGACCGTGAGTTTGACCACAAACGAAGGCTGTTTTGTAATGAAATCGGGCAAAGCTTGCGTAAGGACCGGGAAGCCTGGTGGTCGGAGCGTGCTAAGGAGATGGAAGCAGCAGCTGCATCTGGTAACTGCCGGAAGCTCTTCCAACTCATCCGAGCTACTGGCAGCAAGAAGTCTGGTGTGAGTGAAACAATCTACGAGGATGACGGGATGCCATTCACTAACATCTGTCGACGTCTTGGACGATGGGCGGAATTTTTCGAAGGGCAGTTCAACTGGCCTGCTGCTCCGGCAACATCAACCAGCTTGTCCTGCCCCCCATGGCCGGTGACGACTGATCCACCAAACGAGGCGGAAGTCCGCAAGGAACTCCAACTCTCGAAGCGCTACAAATCACCTGGCCCAGATGACTTACTGTGTTGTTTGTAAAGGTTTGGGAGCAAGAAAGTGTTCCAACATCTTGGAATGAGTCAATAGTCGTCCCTATCTTTAAAAAGGGTTCACGTTGTTCCTGCAATAACTATCGGGGGATAAGTCTACTTTCGATTGCGTCCAAACTATTGGCTTCTATCATTCTTCGTAGGTTGTTTGAAACCCGAGAACGATTGACTCGCGAGGAGCAGGCTGGTTTTCGTTCTGGTCGAGGATGCATTGATCACATCTTCACCCTCCGCCAAATGTTAGAACACCGTCATACTTATCGCAGGCCAACAATCGTAGTGTTTCTTGATATCAGGGCGGCCTTCGATTCGTTGGACAGGACTGTTCTCTGGGATTGTCTATTGAAGAAGGGTGTGCCTGAGAAGTTCATTAACATCTTAAAGGCCCTGTATACGAACACCTCAGGCAGAGAGGGCATACAACCACCTTTCTCCCTTGTTTCATTCGAGCAGTGGGGTTAGACAGGGTTGCCCGATCTCACCATTCCTCTTCAACTTTGCCATCGACGACATCCTGGAAACAGCTCTGATGGATGTAAGTAATGGCGGTGTGGATATGTTGCCTGGAGAACGACTTCTCGACCTTGAGTATGCGGATGATATTGTCTTACTGTGCGATAATGCCCAAGGCATGCAATCCGCAAAGTACTCCTGCAAGACTGGCAGGATTCTAATCCTGTACTCACCCTGGATGGTGAGGAGATCGAAGTAGTTGAGAAGTTCGTGTATCTCGGTAGCTATATAAGTGCTGATGGTGGCGTGAGTGATGAGATTGATGCACGTATAAGGAAAGCCAGGGTAGCCATGTCAATCTCCGCCATCTTTGGCGCCTTCGTGATGTTAGTCTGGCTGTAAAAGGTCGGATCTACAACGCGTCGGTGTGAGCAGTTTTGCTCTATGCTTGTGAAACCTGGCCTCTCCGAGTTGAGGATGTTAGACGTCTCTCTGTGTTCGATCATCGTTGTCTCCGAAGGATTGCTGACATCCAGTGGCAACACCATGTTAGTAATGCAGAGGTTCGGGATCGTGTGTTCGGGTGCAGAGACGATAATTCAATTAGTGTCACCATCTTGAAACACCGACTTCGGTGGCTTGGACATGTTTTACGAATGTCGTCCCAGAGACTTCCACGTCGTGCATTATTTGCCGACCCTGGGACTGGTTGGAAAAAGCGGAGAGGAGGTCAGTGTATGACATGGTGTCGTGGCATGAAAGAGAGCTGCAAAGGGCTAGCTTCTGTTGGTCCTTCACGACTCCTTGGCTGGGGTCCGAGAGATGGTGCAACACAGTGGCTAGAGACGTTATCAGATATGGCTCAGAATAGAAGCCAGTGGCGATCCTGCTGCAACCTTCTTTTACTTTCTACATAAAGAATGGTTCTAACTTTCCTAACTGAAAGAGTCTTCTGGTTGTACATTTTAGTCCGCGTTATCTTTTCATCCTTTCTCTTCCTACTTTCATTATTTTGTGTGGCACATATGTACCTGGTACCCTTTTGTACCAATATATATGTGTTTAAATAAATAAAAAAATAAATAGGACCAGGCACATATATGCATCGGTCGAAGTTGCCATACCTCATTTGCACAACCAGGTGAACACCTAATCCATAGAAGTAGTTAATTTGGTGGTGGTAATATACAAAAGAAAGGTTGTATATAAGGATATAGTATAGGAAGAAAGACGGGTATGAAGATATTTTAATCTCAAGGTTTAAGGGAAGATAAAGAGTGTATACACGTACGCCATTGTGATCAATTCTTAGCCATGTCACCTAGAGTCTCCAACCATTGGTTACGATAGTCACGTGGACCCCAAACAAGTAGTCTGTACCTACCAACATGGCTCAGACTAGAAGTTAGTGACTTCATGCTCTGATGCCACGTTTTGGTTTGGCCGCCCCTAACTCTTTTCCAACCATTGCCAATACAAATCAGCATAGCGCGTCGTCGTAAGTTACCATGATCAGTGATTAAAAGATCTTAGGTGATATGTTTGAGAACTAGTTACAGTAGTCTTAAATGAATTCATTGTTTATCTTCACCTAGTTTTTTTTCAATTTGAGTATAATGTAATATGTGCTTTTCTGTATTCATAGTCACTATTGTTTGTTCATTTCACCTCATTATGTTAGTATTACTTAGGAATCTTGGATTCATACACTTTTGTACTATATATCTACTTCTATTTCTGCTGATTTCATACAGAAAGGTATATCATTAACACACATAACCTGATATATGTGTGTTTGTACAAGTGGCCATACCACACAGTAGTACAATAATATGAAAATTAACACAAGTGATCAATATAGTGTAGTAGTAATGATAAACAGTAAGATTAAACCTTTGGAATGTGGTTTAGAAGAGCAAAGTGAAATAGTTATGTATGAAAGGATACGGTAGTCAGTCAGTCAGTCAGCTACAACGTAGGATCAGGCACATATATGCATCTGTCCAAGTTGCCATACCTCGTTAGCACAACAAGATGAACACCGAATTCATAGACGTAGTTAATTTAGTGGTGGTAATATATAAAAGAAAGATTGTATATAAGGATATAGTGTAGGAAGGAGGAAAGTTATGAAGGAATTTTAATCTCAAGGTTTAAGGGAAGATAAAGAGTGTAAACACTTACGCCATTGTGATGGATTCTGAGCCACGTCACCTAGAGTCTCCAAGTGATACGATTACTCAAGATCGAGAGAAAAAAGAGTGAATGTGCAAGTGCGCTCTTGTAAACGATTTTGAGCCAAGTCACACAAAGTCTGTATCCATTTTTTTACGATAATTTATCAAATTCCAATCAGTTAGTATGTGTCTAATAATATTGATCAAGAGTCGGTGATTTCATGAATTAATATTACATCTTGATTTGGTCAACCTTAGCTTTCTTTCAATCTTCTCCACTAGCAAGCATCGGTCGACGAGGTCGACCTCATTTACCGATTTTCTACATTTGTCAAGTACCCTATGCCTAACCTTAATATTGTTCACTCAGTCATTTAGCGAAATGAGAGCAATGCTTCAAAGGCACCTATGATGAAATATTTACAGCCTACACTTGTCTTTGCTCTCGTAGACCATTTTTCACAAACCATAAAGTAGAAGAGAACTAACTGATTTAAGAAAATAAAATAGTTCAATTGTAGTTAGCAGAGGGGATTCGAACCCAGGATCTTCGGTTTCGTACACGAATACCCAACCTCTAGACCATTAATTATACAATAAAAATGTATCTTATGATCCTTCTTAAAATGGTTTTAAAGATTTTTAACTTTTCCATTATTTACTCTTTGCTAACAGAGGAGTCTTTAAAGTAATTTACACTCAATGAGATGGTAACCAATTAGTGATGTGACATGAAGAAGACTCAAATTGTTATTTGTTAATTTTCATCGAGATTTAAAAAAACAGAAATTATTTTTTGTTATTTACGCCTGTTACCCCCTCGTGGAGAAGCATAGGCTGCCCACCAGCACTCTCCATCCAACCCCTATCCTGGGCAATCTTTTCCAGTTGCTATTCATCCCTTAAAAAAAAACAAAATATATAGTACTCGATAAATAAGTACTAATTTTACAACCTTTACACGCTAAGAAGTTTTCCAAATGTATAAAGGAGATGCAGTCACATGGTAACCGGTGACCAACAATTGATTCATACACCTTTTGTTCCTTCAGGATACTGGAGCCCATGTGCACCATTGGTTTAGAATCAGGACTTTCTGTGTCCACCAACCCGGTTAGAGCGCCAGACATTCACTTTTCGTCCTCTCAATTTCGTAAACAACACTCCCGCCACGAGAAGGCAGTGAGTAGGACTTTCCTGACAGATGCTATATGTATGCGTGTCCATGTGATAGCATTTAGAGAGGGAGAGAGCTGACTCTCTCCATTCTCGGCCATACGAAGAACATACTCTACTTTAATGAACTACAATTGAAATATATCTGAGACAATTAAACATATTTGATTTGTAAGGTATAGTCTATGTGTATACATTAAGTAAGCAAAACATATTTAACATCATCATTCATGTTCTTCTTTTGTTGTCATAATTATCCATTGATAAAGTATTGGTTTTTCCTTTCATTTTTTTTCTCCACACACAAATGATCCATTCTAGCTGTTGTTTATCCTACGACTATTTCAGAACTACCTAATTTACATCCAATTTATTGTGATATTGCAATACAAACGAATGATGATCTCCCTATATTAGATCATGTTCATTCATTAAAACCTTTAAATGTAATGAATGAATCTAAATCGATTCAAACAGATGGAATGGAATTATCGACAAATCTTTCTATATCCAATGATGATAGACCGTCGACATTACAAGAACGTATGATGGAAGCTGAAATTCTTCATATGGAACAAGAAATTCAACGTTTAAATATATTAGTTAGATATACACGTGCTGAAATGGGATTAGAAATGCAACGTCGTATAAGTGAATTACGTAGAATATGGAATGATGAACTAATTGCTATTATGGAAGCAGCTAGTAGAATATGGGAATATGATGTTGTAAGAATTGTTGATGTTGTAAAACGTCGTCAATGGGTATGTTTGTATATTTTCAGTAATTGATTATTTTGAAATATTTATTCACAATCGACTTGTTTGTCATGATAGGACCTTGAGGAACGATTGTTCCAGTCAGTACAGCTCGATTGGTTCATTACGATAAGCAACCCCGATCACCACGTCAAGATAGCAGCAACGGTCGGGGAATAGCACTATGCACTTTGAATTTGATACTGATTATTGCGTCAACATTCACACTAATTAATCACACAGTAGTAACCGAAGTCATTTTATTTCATTCTGATGAGATACTTCCGACCTATTTGAAATATAGAGCAATAGTTCCAGATGACTTGATATTGCGGTGCATTTTTTTGAAGGTTAACAATAGGAACCCTCCTAATGTCTAACTCTGATTGTTGCAATAGTATACAGATCACCAGTCTCCTTAAGAGTACGGAGACACCGCTTGTTGATTACTTCCAACTATCTATAAATTCTGAGTATAGATGTTTTTTCCTGATCCCAATTAATGATCTAACATCAGTTGGTATGACATTGTAAACAATCACACTAATACTATTCATCACAACTCATTTCATTTGTTTTAATTCTTTCAGTTTCATTAATTATTACATCAGTTAGTATATATTACTGTCTAATATTGACGCTGACAAAATGCAGAGTCTTCTGACTACTATAAGCAACTATGCAAGCATGTTCGGGATGCGATTCTCTCCCTCGATGTGCAAAATGTTGCTTCAGGATTGGGTTGAATTGGCACCTGAACTAATGATAGGCAGTGAAGTAGTTGGGCGTGTTGACAGCTTCACTTATCTTGGTCTGGTATGTGACGAAATCTCAGCATGGATACAGAAGGCTCGTCTAGCTTTTGCCAACTTGCATCATTTATGGTGTAGGTGAGCTATCCGTCTAGCAACCAAAGGACGGGTTTACTACGCAGCAGTTCGTTCCGTCCTATTTTATGGCAGTGAAACATGGCCGGTAAGAGTAGAGGATATTCGTAGGCTGCTAGTATTTGATCATAGGTGTCTTCGAAGCATTGTTCGTATATTCTGGGACCACCGAATAAGTAATGCAGTTGTTAGAAACCGGGTACTAGGTAAGGATGGCAAATCGATTGATGAAGTAGTGAAACTTCATCAGTTGAGATGGCTGGGACACGTGTTACGTATGCCCAACCACCGACTACCCCGACGTGCGATGCTTTGTGGTGAAGTAGTAGGTTGGAAGAAAGGTAGGGGCGGCCAGACCAAAACATGGCACAAATCCATGAAGCCATTGACAAGTGGACTGAGCTATGTTGGTAGGTGTAGACTACGTGGTTGGGATTCGCGAGATGATAGTAGCCGATGGTTAGAGACCTTGAATGACATGGCTCAAAATCGTTTGCAATAGCGAAGGTGCATCCTCTCTAGTGTTCTACCAAATTCTAATCTTCTGAATTCTTCATGTCCTTCTCTTTTTTCTCCAAATTTATTTCACTGTATTATACTCCTTGAATAACATCTTCAAATCTTAATCTTTCACATAATGCTTATACTTTTACTACTTCTACCACTATGGGATTTGAATCGGCAACTGCATCTCTGTGTTAATATGGTATGGCAACTCGAACTGTGATGTACGTATGTACGAAGTTCTACGTTGCGACTGACTGATTTTCTAAACTGTTCCATCAGAAAATGACATTTTGGTGATTGTAAGCTTTAGTCATTCAGTCGTTACTTAGAACTTAGTACGTTTGTATATCGATTCAAATTAATCTACCCCATTAGATTAGAGAAATGAAATTTTCAAGCCAAATCCCAGGATAGTCGAAGTAGTAACAATATCAGTGGTAATACGAAAGGTTTGGCATCAAATATATTATTCGAAAAGAAAATATAAATTGGTGGAACAAAAACAAATTTTATAAAGAATTTAGAATGTGAGGGAAGGCAAAGAACGGATTTGCCTGCACCATTGCAAACGATTTTGAGATATGTCATTTATACTCCCTAACCATTGGCTGTGATAGTCATGCCGACCCCAACCAAGTGGTCTACACCTGTTACTATGACTAAGTCCAATTGTCAATAACTTCATGGAATAATGTCATGTTTCGGTTTTGCCTCTCCTAACTTTCTTCCAGCCTACTCTGGAACCAGAAAACATAGCTCGTCGATGTAGGCTGTGGTTGGACATACGTAACGCATGTTACAATCACCTCAGTTGATATGATTTACTACCTTATCTACTGATTTACCATCATTCCCTAATCGTTGAAAGCGTGAGTCAATTGAAGCTAGACCACCAGGGAAAACCTGGAAGCACTGGACGGCCGTTTTGTCTTATTGTGGGACTCCTCAGCAGTGAGCATCCGCTATCGCGCCTCGTGATATTCGAACCCAGGACCTACCAGTCCTGAAGTTCTAGTGGAAAGCAGTGACCAGTGAAGTTCAATCACGTCTCTTGGTGAGATATCAACTCACTGAAGACAATTGGTGAACGGTTGCTCAAACTTCGTGGATTAGTTGAAGTTAGACATTAATACCGTTGGATGCCAGCCGGCTCAGTGGTCTATCGGTTAAGTACTCTGGCGCGAAACTGGTAGGTCCTGGGTTCGAATCTCGCCTACGAGCCGGGATCGTGGATGCGCACTGCTACTGAGGAGTCCCATGATGGGACGAAATGACCGTCAAGCAGTGCTTCCAGGTTTTCCCTGATGGTCTATATTCAATTGAATCACGCTTTCAACTATGAAAAAAATACTAAATCTCCACAAAAACACCCCTATTTGATAATAATTATAATCATTTTGTATAGGGGCCGATACATTGATTTTGATGATTGAATCGACTCCGTTTTTTTTCTTGTTTTTTTATAGTGTGCATATTGTGGACGTATAGCCTATTATTATTGTTGTTGGAATACATCATATTGTAATGGTATTTGTCAATCAAAACATTGGCCTTTTCATATGGCTTCTTGTGTACAAGCTAAAAGTCAATTGAATAATAATAATAATAGTTCTGTACGTCGTCATTCTCAATCACCCAATTTAACTAATTCATCTAATATCATCGATCAATCACATTTCTCTTTAACACAACCATCAGCGATTCAACATCTTTCACAAAATCATCCTTATCCTCCTTCAGGAGCAGCTCCTGTTCCTCCTCCACCTCCTCCTCATCATCATCATCACAACTACCACCAACAGCAACAGCAACGAATGATTTTGCCGAATACATCCAATTCATCCATTGGTGGTATATATCCATTAAACAATAATGGTAATTCAATCACAACTAATAATATTCCATTTCAACGTTCATTATTATTATCATCATCATCTGGTACACAATCTCGAACATTTAAAAATTGATTATTTTGTTTTGTTTATTTATTTTAGTTTATTAAACTACTTATTTATTTATATAAGTAGTTACATTTTATATTTTATATTCATTTTTGTTTCATATTGAATAAAGTTTATCATATGAGAGCAAACTGTTTACATATAGTGTCTAAAGTGTAATTGAGCTAATGTTTTTTGTTATGACTTGTGGCTGAGTGGATGACTTGTTTAAACGTATAACGTGGTAAGACCGCCGATTGGAGAGCAGCAAATGATCGATTGGAATAGTGACACATGGAAACCGTACGAGCAATCTAAAGCATTTGTCGGTCTTGCTTCTGTATAGCTCAAGCAGTTAAGTCCAGAACACCAATAACAACCTCTGAAATGTGAATCATTATATTTCAAACATATTGAGTTTATATACCAACCAGACAGACCACACCGTACTATAAGATAGGGAACAACATATGTACAAGATTCAGTCAAATGTGTCTGTGAATGTGGGGGGGTGTAATTAATAGACAGAGGATAATGCATGAATGGTAAATCGTATAAGTCAAAATAAAGCTTATAATAAGCGGAACATGAATATGAATAGTTGAGTTATATAGCGACTGTACGATTAAAAATCTATGCATAATATTTGTCCATAATTGGATCCCAAAGTTGCCATTCATTATCCTCATCGGTGCATAACAGTTTCGAAGAGAATGTATCGTTGAAAAAAATCTTTAACTTACAGTATATAATGTATTTTAAGTTGAGTTGAATGGTTGTTAGCAGATAAATTTAGGATGCATGTTTTTTCCTATTTCAGACCTGTCAATTTGGATGTATTTGCATCCCAGAGTTGATGTTCACTTCGAGATTGGAATTCGAGTACCATTCGCTTGAAATCTTATCTCGTTATTCACTTATTTATTGAGTTCTGGTAGCCATTAGCTTGTGCAATGGGGTGAAACTGTAAATTCATTTTTGTATTGGTTTTTTTAAATCATCTGATTGATATTTAGGACTACAATTGACCAGTCTCTTATTGGTATATATGCATCACTCAGTATCAATTCAACCCGCTCAGGATGCACATATACCAACAACAAACTGACCAATTACAGTCCTAAATCTCAAAGGGAAGATTGAGACAACTAGTATAAAAATGGATTTTCTATTTTACTGTGTGTTCATATATCAGTTAGTTCAGTCACATTTGACCAATTGACAATCTACATTGTTAATTACACAAGGTTCGATTAATCCAATCGAAGTTTACCATACTTTTGCATACATGTCAATTCGTTCTTGATGTAGACCGTTTAAGATATTCAACAAAGCAATGTTCATCGTGTACTTGAGAGGGTGAAAATTGATCTGTACTTATTATATCCATTCTTAGTACTACATTAATATTGTTACAAGGAAACACCAGATACATATGCACCACACAAATCTCATTTCATTTGTGTGAGGGCTGTGATACTGCCCGGGTTGCCAAATCGAAGCAGGTGGTTATCTTAGGGGCCCACATCCGGAGCCTTTGATCTAAAGGTCTGATCCACAACGAAATGGAGCATCGTAAGGAGATGCAGTCCCATGATAACCGGTGACCAACGATTGATTCATACGGCATTTGTTCCCTCAGGATACTGGAGCCCATGTGCACCATTGGTTTGGAATGAGGGTTTTACAACTCCCCCAAGTGAATCCTCTGTATCCATTAAACTGGGTAAAGCGTCGGACATTCGCTTTTCGTCCTCTCAATTTCGTAAACAACAGTAATTCCACGAGAAGTCAGTGAGTAGGACTTCCGTGGCAGAGGCAAAGCATTTGGATAGGGAGAGCTTACTCTTCCCACTGTCAGTCGTACCAGGGCATTTGGAGGCTAGTGTTATATTGATTTGTCTAGGGAACATCATTTGAAGAACTCTCTAAAGCATGTATTTAGTCTGTATAACGTTAACACAGGGAGTCATTTATTATATTCCGTACCATGTATAAGAGACATAATAATCTTCCACATTTTAAATCTCCATATTAACTTTCTCTGAGAAAATTACTTTTGACCATTGTATATGGTAAGTAATTGAAAATGATTGATTTAAATATAAGCTAGCTCAATGATGAAGTATACGTATTAATAAATCGGGGGGGGGGGCTCTAATTCTTGCATTTTTCATACATGAGCTAACTGAGTACCATCCCTATACTCAAGCTTAAGTACGATGGGAAGAGGTTCAAAACGATGGATGAATGGTTAAAAGTTGATCATTTTGGCTTATAAGATAGTTAATTTCCTTTTACGATTCATTAAGCTTGCATAAAAGATAATTGTTTTAGTTTGATAACTTTTGCCATTATTACAATTCTGTCCTTAAGCTTATGCTAAACGTGTAATCGCGACAATGTAACGGAAAAAAAATTGAAAGTAAGATAAAGTAAATACAGTAAGTGAAACTCTCTTAGGATCTTCTTTTATAGTAGTATGTTGCGTCTCTTCATACCTTTCTAAATGATTGGCCACACGTATATAGCCTCTTCCAGGGAAGTCCTACTCACTGCCTTCTCGTGACGGGGGTGTTGTTTACGAAATTGAGGGGACGAAAAGCGAATGTCCGGCGCTTTAACCGGGTTGGTGGACACGGAAAGTTCACCTAGAAAAGTTGGAAAACCCTCATTCCAAACCAATAGTGCACATAGGCTTCAGTATCCTGAGGGAACAAATGCCGTATGAATCAATCGTTGGTCACTGGCTACCATGGGACTGCATCTCCTTACGATGTTCCACTGCTTTGTGGATTAGACCTTCATGTCAAAGTCTCCGGATGTGGCCTCTTAAGAAAACCACTTGCTTTAGTTTTTGCACCCGGACAGTATCACAGCCCTCACACAAATCAAATAAGATTTGTTTGGCGCATCTACATCTCGTGCCTCTTTTTACCAATATTTATGTGTTTAAATAAAAGTATTCAATTCGTTCATACACCCCTTTGTTCGGTCCAAGTTTTTTTTGTATGTTTGGTGTTTTGTTGTTGTTGTTGTCAACGTGATTCTTCGTGTTTCCGTATAATGAATAATTGATTTATTCTTGTAGTCGTTTATACAAATACATCAAAGACGGTATGTGTTGTTTGTTTGTTTATTTGTCTCTATCAATGAGTCTGATGAAGCATAACACAGTAGCTTATTGATTGAATTAGTTTCTAGTGATAATTATATTTACGTGATAATTATTTTGTTCTAAAAGTATCATAATCAAGATTGTGGGTATCATTACCAAGTTTTGAGTTGATCATTTTGTATAAATTGAACATTGGATAGATTGTTATAAGTAAAATGATTATGAATATGGTGATCTTGAGTGCTGTTAGAGGTATGTGGGCGGTTATCACTTTCCGGCTGCCCACACTATGGAAAGGTTCTTCTAGAAGTACCTGAAAAGAAAATTGGGTTAGAAGTGGTCTTAATGACCTGAGAGCTTGACTGCAGTTCCCAAGGGACAACTGCTTGATGTCGGTCACACACGACCTTTTTGTGTTAGCTTCACACTTGTTGAGACCTTACTGCCGGAGACGGAAATCCGTGGGATAAGGTGGGGTGTGCACTTTTAGGGTCGACCTTTCCTAACCCTATCCCTCCTTGTGGGAAGGCATCATCGCTGTTATGCTGGTTGTCTGAAGGAAACACCTTACTGCTGTCACACCTCTGTACAGTCAGCAGTATGACTTTGCCTTCGGACCTTGGGTTTGCTGCTTTTAGTCTCACCGCTCTTGAACAGACCCGTCTGGCATGGTAGGACCTTGATGAACGAATGTTTAAGCCAGTATATCTCGATTGGTTCATCACGATAGGCAAGCCTGACCACCATGTCAAGGTAGCAGCAACGGTCGGGTGACAAGGCTCAAGATTGATCACAATGTCGCATGTGTATACACTCTTTATCTTCCCTTAAACCTTGAGATTAAAATTGCTTCATATCTGTCTTTCTTCCCATTCTATATCCTTATATACAACCTTTCATTTATATATTACCACCACTAAATTAACTACTTCTATGAATTCGATTTTCATCTTGTTGTGCTAATGAGTGAGGTATGGCAACTTAGACCGATGTATATGTGTGCTTGATCCTACGTTGTAACTAACTGACTAACTCATTAATCATGAATACTGAATAGGATTCTGGGGAATACCTCTGAGTAATTGGATAATATCTACTTTATATTGGATAAGTCAATAATTCAGTTTAAGTTATATGTGAAGTGTAACTATTTCTCCATTCACTGGATATTGTTTTCAATAAAGAATTGAATTATAAATGAATTAAGATGATGCATTCAATTACCACACACATTTACATTGTATTATAATACAATAAGAACATGTTTCAAAATATATGTTTAAGTGAAATAAACTATTTATTACTTTTGTTATTATGCACCTAGACTAGTGGCCACATTGCAACTTGATCGATAGCATTTGATCAGCACTAAGACGGACTTGACACGCATGACATTGATCACCATCCAGTGGTCGATCAATTGTGATTACATTTCAGTCCTATAGGAGGTCGGTCACTGCGCGAATAGCTCGGTGGTAACGTCTCTGAGTGTGAAGCTGAGTGACACGGGATCGAATCCGTCAGGGAGCACCAATTCCCTCAAGATTACAGGTACATCTTGCTAGCGAGTGTCAAGTAACACGAATCCCGAGTCCAAGGTTTCCTGTTGACCACCTCCAATCACTATCTTATTAACCGATCAGGTATAAGATAAAAGGTCTCAAATTTTGCGCGAAATTCACTCAATCCATTCGGCTAGATAGAGTTTTGGTGTTATAGCTGATGTCAGTTCGTGATGAAAACCATAAATCTAATTCTTAACGGTAACCATCAACTCTAAATTATAATTATAATTCCTCACACTGGTTTATAACCCTTATTTGGTCTTAGTTATCAAGTGGACACTTTCAAGGTCACTTTGGCGTCGCTCAAAGGCCGTCCATAAATTATAGTCTCGCCGATCGTTGCT